GACTGAATCATGAAGTAAAATTTTAGGACCAGTCTTCTACTGGTACCAGCCCCTCTTCCAAATGCTTCCCCCTCATGCCTCTGCCTTTCAACCTCTCCACTGGGGACATGACTTGGGTTGGTAAGCATATACGTTGTAGAACCAAGGTCAACATAGAAAGACAAAAACAGCAATTCTACTCTAATATCCATGAGAAAATACAGAGCAAGAAGAGACTTCCAGAAAGAGGCTCAATGTAATTTCTGGAGAAATTCCTTTACTATCTTTGACAAATCCTTCCTTACAAGGAGTGCCAGATAAAGCCTCTGGATTAGCCCAACTTTGAGAGCTGGAAACCTGGGAGTTCTACAGATTGACATTTCATCTTCCTGCGGGAGCACGTTGCTTCCACTGTCCTGGCATCCTGCAAGCTGATGGAGCATGCACAGACGTCACTAGATTACTGATACTTCCTTGCTGTAAAGCAGTTAAAATTTCATAAAAAATGGATCAAACCCTGTGTTTCCATAAAGGAAAACACTATGTGAATGCTTTATAGAAATGGGAAATAATCACAAAATTTTCACAGCTACAGGATTAACAAAAATTCCCTGCCAGCAGCAGAATGTACTTTAACTTCATGATTTGTATAAACTGTGAATGAAGAGATGTAAATTATGTTGCCACTGAAAAAAGAACTATATTCAACAGAATATTTTCTGCCTATAGAATTATTATGGTTAACAATTTTCAGACCGTTTTAGTAATGATTGTTTAACAATCCTGTGGTCAAGCAAAATGAAGATAAATGTTTGCCTATACATATTTTTAAATCAGTTTTAGATGACAGGAGGCTACTGTCTTGTTATTGCATAACCAATAACTTTCTACATTATAGTTTGTTTCCAACAGTGATGTCAAATTATTTTCTCTTTGACTTTGATATCTTTTCTAGAACGCCCTTTAGTTGCATAGAGAGATTGCTTGGTACCATCTTCTTGGCATATTTCACACATTCATTTCCTTAGCATTACCTTTTGGTCTACTCGGCTCTCTTCTGGTCACATAAAACAGCTTAGGCTTTTGAGGATGAAAATGCTTTGGTTTATACGAAGTCTCTCAGGGCAATGTGGAAGTATCTGGATAAGCAGGAGCTGACTAGATGATCAAAGGCCCCTTTGGCTTTAAGTGTTATGAAACTTTTTTGATGTTAGTCCGTTTCTTCCGGCCCACGTTCAAACCGATACACTCTTTTCTTTTCCACCAGATGTTCTATTCCTTCCGGCAGATGATATGAACAGGTCAAGAACCTCCAGGATATATTCCTTTTTATCTCTATAAGCTGGAGAGAAAGCATCTACATTTTTCACTCCGTTTGTCCATACTGTATTATGAAGTTATAATGTTGGTGATGATGGCAGCTGAACTGGAGACAGTACACCACTAGCTAAGGAAACATTAGCGGGCTACATCGCAAAGACAATGTTAGATCAAAGACTTTGAAAGAGTAAGCCCTGAATTCACACAAACCATTTGTTATCAGATTATATTTCCATGCATATCTCTCAGATGAGCTTGCCTCCACAGTTTCCAAAGCATTATGTTGTTTTCAGAACCAGAATGGTAGCAGCAGTACAATAGCTGTATATAAACTAATAACATGTTTAAACTGATCCTTTAATCATCTGTATTTTGGTATTTTTCTGACAGACTCATAATATTCCACGTATCAAATTCTGGTTCTGGGTTACTGCTTCTCTCTTCTACTGTTTGTAAACACTGTCACGTACTGACAGTCTAGGAAAGTCACAGTTCCTTTACTATAACTATGCTTTGACATTCTCTTACATTTGTAGGCTAGTCCTAACTAGTTCCTTCAAGATTAACATAAACAGTGTTTCAAATATGCTGCTATCAGATTCCCAGCATTAATTAAAAAAATATCCTTCAGATATGGATTTAATTTGCATCCATGCATTCCATAGCAGGCTGTTCCTTCCCAATTATTTCATGTTGAAAAGCCTCAGTATAAATCTCAGAAAAATGAGTATTCTGAGACCTGCTCTGCTGCTCCTAAAACCTGTTTAAACCATGTGCTATTAAGTAAAGGAAAGATCTCAATGTCACTTTTTCATTACGGGTCAACATATGACTCAGCTGTATGTTTACACCGATAATAGCTGTATTATAAATATTTACATGGATTATACAGTTAGCAGTAAGGCGTAAGCAGTGCTAACCATATGCATCACTCCCCTGCTAAGCGTACATGGGTTATGAAAATGATGGTTTTGTTTATTTCTTCCTTATTTTCTTTCCACGTATTGAACCCTCTTTCTATTCAGGCCAGCCATACCTAGGAAACAGAACCTATACTGTTAATAGTTGCTTAAATGGAAAGGGATATTGCCTTACATGAACTTAACTAACCTTCCATGTGCCAGACCTTCAGCCAAACTGAATTGCTATTCTTACTCAAGAACGTCTTTCATGTTGAGGAAAGCTGGGTAATCGCATGTATGGAACATGTATGAGCAAGGCTAAAGAAATAAATTTCATCAACTTTTGAATTTTTCAATAAAAAAAAGGTAGTTTGTGAACAGCAGTTCTCATTTTATTCAATTTTATTGATAAGAATAAATTAACATTCAGAGAGAGGTAAAAGAAATCCATGAAGTAAATGGTGGTCTGATATTAAAGAAAGAAAGCAGCAGGTGTTTTGTATTGTTTTCTTTTTTCCTAACCAGCCATTTATGTAAGTATAAAATAATCCAGAAGATCTGGGGGGTTTTAGCAAAATTTGTGTAGAACAAGAAAAAACCAAATTTTAAAAACTTAATGGGTATCAAATCCCATAGTTTGGTTAAAAGTACAAGAACAGGTTGGGTTTTTTTTTCATCTATCTACATACCTGTCCCATTAATTACAGCATCTGAAAACATAATTCATCTACTTAGCTTCCCATTGTTCCTGTGACTTCTGTTATCTCTACCAATTCAATAAGGACCCAAAAAGACAGAATATTAATAAATGATTGCTCAGGTTGACCCAGGAAGTGAACTAGGAATGAAAACCAGATCTTCTAGGTCCCAGAAGAGAACCACAACCTCAGGGCTTGTACATCCAGTAATAAGGTCTGGACCCGTACTCCGGCAATAAATACCGCTTCGCTAAGAATTATAGACTGAAATTCTGATTGTATGAAAATGGGAGTATGCTGTTACAGAAAATGGTGTCAGTTATAGAAAAGCTGATGTATGTTAGAAAATCTAACAGTCTAGGCATTTATAACTCCCACATCTTGCGATTTCTATGAATTATTTCTATGAATTATTAGCATTAATTGAGGTAACAGATCTAAATGTGCCAAAACTAAGGAGCTTAAGATAACATGTCTAAATGGTGGCACACACTGAATCTGCCCTCCTCTTTTGGCTTCTGTTCATTCTTGGAAGAGAAGACTATGCTGAAGTTGCTTATTTTGGCAAAGCCTGGTCCTTTAACTTGATCTCCACCCTATTTCTAGGAATTCAGCCCCTTTCATGCCTGCCAGTCTGCTGAGCTGCGTGCTGTTTTTGGAAGGGCAGAACACAATTTTCCTATAAATTCTATTACATACTTGTACAAATTGCCAAAATGTTCTATGAAACCTAAGTGCCACATAAATGACGGCAAAACAGGGCCACTTACATGTAGCTTTGGCTATAGATTTTGTGTGATTCATTTCTAGTCACATACTTGCACCATCAGCTTGCTCACATTTCTATGATAACCTATTATTTTAGGTATTTATAATTTGCTCAATGTATTCCCTACTGAGTATTAATAACAAAGCTCCCAGTCTAGGTATTTGTATCAAATTTGGGGAACAATACTGAGCATCAGTGACTAGTACTCTCGGCAAGTGAAGCTAATGTGCTTATCTAACTGCCTTTAATGCCGGAAAAAAATTAAAGCCGTCAGACTCTTGAACCTTTTAATTTTTTGCATGTGCAGTAAGACATTTTCAAAGGGAACCTAATTATCCACTTTAATGGTAAGTGGTGCCAGTAACCGGTATTTTCACAGACGTTACTGGAATAAACACAGTCCAAAGCCTTCCAGCTGGGAAGCTGGGCGCCTTTTGCCGCCTGGAGCTGGTACCTCACTAGAGCGTACTCGGCTGAGGGGTTTTGCCTAGGAGCCGGTGTGCTCCTCTTGAGCACCCCCTTAACTCCGCTAATTTGTGTTCGCCTCAACACCCTTCCACAGCCTGCAGCGTCGATAGAGCCAACAGGGGGCACTCGCCCGCTCCTCAGCCGCTGCCTCACCTCCTGGGCGGGGCCCTTCCCAGCAACGCGGCGCCTAGGGCAGAACATGAGGCTGCGCGACTGTAGCGGGCCTTGTGTCGGCCGGCCTCGCGCTACCACCCCGGGGCCGCGCTGCCCCCCCGGCCCAGCTCCTCTGCGTCGCTTTTACCGCCC